AAACAGAAAGGCTGTGACTATCAGTGGGCTGCAGTTTCACACAGTTGATGAGAGACTATAGCCCTGGCATTTAGTGAGTGAGTAGCAGGTCATGGGGCTGAAGCTCCAGCCTCCAGGTTTTAGCTGGATGGGTTTCCTTCAGGATTTACTCACTCCCATGGTTCTCACTTCCCTCCCCTCATTTCTCCATCTTCCTATCTCTGCTGTGCTGAGGGAACTCTTCAGAGTAAATATTGAAATAATCCTAAGAGGTAGACTATACTCCTTTCAGCTGACCATTTGTTTTTATAGGCGAGGTTTTAAATGATTAACCTGTAAATGGTTTTAGGGGAGGGAGAATAAATGTGTGTACACTGTGGTTTTCATCTTATAGACTCAGACATTTCTATTTACTGTAAAATGGTCTTTGAATTATGAAGCATATGTGTTCAAGTAATACACTGGGAAATAGGGCCCCTCACTTTTTCCAACTAAAGTTCTTTTGTGCTATTCTGAATAGTTATGGAAAGCTCATTTATTACTAGAGGGTTGTTCACAAAGTTACCATTTTAACAAACATAATTTCAGAAGGTGTTGAGCATAGCTTAGAAAATATGTGAGAAAAAGAATACTGCATTTTTTTAATTGCAAGAGAAAATATCATTATAATGGTAGTTTTTCCAGAATAATATTTTACACAATGGTGTCTTTAAAATAAAGCCCTGTTTGTGATTCTTATTATTCCAAAATTTATTTTACTCAAAAAGTGTCTGACCAAAAAACCATTTACAAGTACCATGTTTTTGAACTATAAAAGTAATTTGAACAAAAAATCGTAAGATTTATGGTGACAAGTTTCTCTGATTCCACAATAGTCTCAGAGCAATATAGTTCAAAAGGCAGTTAAGAAAAACTTTTAGAGATTTTTGACAACTGTGAATAACTTTAAAAAGAAAAATTGCTTGAAGTCAGGGCATTTTTGTCTCCCGGTTTAAAAAATAAACAACGAAAAACTGAACGAGACCGGAATTTTGCCTTTGAAAACAAAAACAAACGCCCTCAGGTTCTGGGGTGCCTCTCCTGACCCACCCCGTCGGGTCTGGTTCCCTCTGACTCCCCGTGTTAATCCACTGGAGTTACTTCCCTGCACTTTGCTGAGAAGCGGGGAGTGGGTCGAATCCGATCGGTTTTCCGACGGTCAGGTCGCTAGCTTTTGCCCAAACTGCCCGGGAAGATCACGCGGGGGCAGATGGGGGTCCCCAAATCCGCAGATCTGGAGTCTCCTCCGGCGGCCCCCCCCCCTCACCCCGCTTTCCATGTCCTCCTGAGAAGGCGCTGAGGACGAATGGTTGTGTTCACTGCTTTCCAGCTCCCTACAGCAGGCTCTGCATTTGCTCATTTTAAGCATGGCCGGCGGGGGCGGGCAGTCACTTTCCGAGTTTCTTTTGACTTTCTGAGTTTCTCTGGACCTTGCATAAAGTAGAACGTTCTGGCATCTCCCAGATAAAGAGGTCAAAGTATAAATGATACATGCATAAAATAGGCAAAAAGTCTAGATTGGGGCTAATGTTTTGTCCTAGTGGTAATGACAAGGATTGTTTGGAGAGCAAGCTGACAGATGTTTAAATGCCTTAGTAAGACATCAACTGCCTTCTTTGGAATGACTGGATTTCTAGAAGGAAGATGATGGAATAAGGGATAAAGGGTAAAGGGGGTAGGAGACAGAAAAGTGAGGAAGTTGCTGGAAGGAAAAGGAAGGAAAGGGCAGATATGCTGGCTCTGGAATTGGGCTTGGGAGCCCTGGGGCAGGCGCTGCACCGGAAGGTGCTAGCTGTTGAGGCTGAGCTGGGGCTGGGAGACCTTTCCTGCTTGCCAGAGGACAAGACAGGTCAAGTCTCAGCTGGGCCACACTCCCTCTTAGTTTCCACAAGGACCTAAGCGCTCCTTATGCTTTAGTAGAAGTCACACATTGCTTCTAACAATGAGCAAGGATGGCAGTCCTTGCATTACGTTGTTGGGGCGCTGTTCAGCTGAGAAAATGTGTACCACCTTTTAAAAATCGGGAAACCTAACTGTGCCAAGCAAAGGCCATGCCGTAGATTGCTTTTCATCTCCCTCCTGTGTTGAGGAGTCAGTTGAGGTCCTGAGCTAATTTTAAAGACGTTTTGGAAGAGCCACGATAAATCAAGCTGTGAATCATTTGGATTTTGAAGGCTTAAAACATGCGTTTTGGTCAAACGCAGGTCTTTCTGGCACCAAAAACAAGTAGGAAATGAGAAAAAAATTAAATCCAGAAGCCTTGAGAAGGTGACAAATTGGAAAGCATTGTAGGAGACTCATAAGAACCATTTTATGTGAAAAAAGGACTTTGAGCCTTAAGAGCTTATGCTCAGTTTATAAAAAGGCTCAAAAGAGTTGGGGAAGGGGCAGACAAGAATAATCTACTTAAAAGACAGTGCCCTAGTGCTGAGTTGATGAGATTGTGTGTTTCCTTCTTTTCCTCTCCCTTTCCAACTTCCTTCCTGTTTCTTTCTCGGTTTCTCTTGCCTCTTTCCCTCTGTTTCTCTCACCCTCCCCCCCAAAGTTTGTAAATGGCTGTGCCTTAAATTCTTTGTGAATGAATTTTAGAGGTTTCCTCAGGGTTCCCAGTTGGAAAAGCCTTCTACATAACTTGAAAGACTGATGTCCCTCTCAGGAAATGAATGAATTGATAACCTCTGACACCAGTGACCAGTCTGGTGAACCCTACCTTAATGCTTTGAACACTGGAGGCCCCTACTCAGGCACAACTGGGAATCCCTGAACTCTACCATCCAGTGTGGTTCAGCTGTGGTGGTCCTACTTTATTTATGCAGACTGCCAGTGTATCTGAACTTCGTCGAAGTTAAGAAAGCAAGGACTTAGGGTCCACTTATTGTTGTTTGCTTCTCACTAGTAAACTCTTCCAAATAAAACAAACTCGTAGATAAAATGTAATTTACTGTAAACAACCCAACATTTACAAGCCTGTTAATTTTATGGTACTCCCTCCCCCCCCCCCCCCCGCAAATATTAGCACTCTCCCAATTTACATGAATACTTTTTCAGGTTATTTGATATTAGACTTTATAAAAAGTAATTCTTTAAATTACAAAAAGTAACATTCAGAATTATATATTGTAACAAGCTCGACAGCCATCCATTTCTATTATTAAAATACTGTCTAGTAAATGCTTTGTTAGTAAACAACCTCTTCAGAATGTGGCACTTGTTACACTTAGAAAATCGTTTGAATTTTTATTTTTTTATTTTTCCTCTCCACCAGCTGGCACATTGTTATCCTTCTCAAAACAAATAAAAGCTTGTCTCCTTCCCGAGGTTAACAAAAGAAAGAAAGAGATGAAAAAAATCTTTCCAAATTGATCAGTTTTAATTGACACCATTTATCACAAACAGCTGAAAATAATTTCTTTATGCACCGATTATTTTCAGCTCTGAGGCAATTAGTTTAAATTTATTTTTAATTTTTCAGTATGAGAAGGGTTGTTAATAGGTGTATGGATTTTTCATAATCCCAACATTTTAGTTTTGTGCGAAGCTCTGTTAGAATGTGGGCTTGCTTGGAGGGACGGGGTGAGGGGTGCGGGCATGGTGGGGGGAGGGTCAGCTGGTGGCTTTGAAGAAGGGAAGTGGTATCTACAGTTTTTCTGCAAAACTGCTTGTTTAAGAGAATGGGGGATGGGAAAGCAAAAGACTGGTGGGAGCCCTAGAATGTTCCAAAACAGGTAATATTTTACATTTTAAAGAATGTAAAGAAGCGAAGCGTTTCTAGTTAATATATAATGTTTTTTTTTTCTTGAAATATTCGATAGGGTGGTTAATATAGTTATAAACACAATAAATCCAATTTGAAAATCAAACCGTGTTTTGATGCAGGGGTCCAACAGGAAGGGCCGGGCCGAACCCACCGCGTTATTAGCGGCTAATGTATTTGACCATTCTGCTTGCTGGCAACAGACTTCTAAGATGTCAGGCTCCACTTAATATTACACCGATTTACCCGTCCCCAGTGCGCCCTCTCCCCACCCCAGCCCTGCAAGCTTTTTCTTCTACAGTCGTCTCTCCCGCATCCCTCTTCACCTCACGCCTCTCCCCTCCCCCCTCTGCCCAAGTCTCCTGCTCTTGGGGAACAATCACCACTGATTGAGGTTCACTCTATGTTAGGCTGGAAAACTGGGCTGTTATTTAGGAAGTCATTAATCACATCTCCAACCCCGGAAAAGAGATGGCGGAGAAACCTGTGAAGTACAGTGTCTTACTACACCTCTCAAAAATATTCTGAAATGAACAGCGCTATTTGATAGGAAATTAGTACCGATTTTTTTTTTTCCAAGTAGGTTTTTATTTTAAATTCGAAAAAAAAAAATTTCAGGTTGTAGTTAGGTGTGCTTTTGCCTTTTGGTAGGTTTATGTTGCCAATATCTGAAGTTAATCGTTAACATAATTAAGCTTTAATTTGGGCTTAGGAATTATATATTTTTCTCCATGAATTAAAAATTAAATTAATGCCCCTAAGGGGGTTTGGTGCTATGGGATAGCAGATTGCCTGTGTGGTGTGTGTGGGAGTCGTAACGTCAGTTGCTTTATTTAAATGGCTCCCCTGTGAGATTAAGAGAGGCTTGTATATGGAACATGTGCGTGCACAAATACCCGACCATCGCTTTTCTAAACCATCGATTCACAAGGACCCTTGGCTATGTTTAGATAGTATAAAGTTAGCATTCTGATTAATCATAAAGAAGCGTCCCAAATTGTCTTTAAGAGAACACGTTTGAGGTTTCCGTGTCCATTCATAAATTATTTTGATGTCAGCACAGATGAAATGGCGATTGGTTATCTCTTCCTCTTGCCAGCCCCTTAAGGATCCGAGGTGAAATTAGTAGCAAGAAAGCATGTAATTGACAAAGTCACGTGTGCTCAGGGGGCCAGAAACTGGAGAGAGAAGAGAAAAAAAAATCAAAAGAAGGAAAGCACATTAGACCATGCGAACTAAATTTGTGATCGCACAAAATCAAGATGTTAGGCGGATGCTGAAGATCACTCCGGTCCAAAGGGAAAGTTTTCATCTCTCGAGTTTGAAGCCGAGGGCCGGTGGGGCAACATGGCCGAAGGTTAATTTTCTTTTCTATTGTTTTACTGTGATTTCTTTCTTCTTTTCTCCCCGGCTTCTCCTCACTATCCAGTCTCTCAACCCTGCTCGCCTGTCCCCCTTTACCCTAATAACGGGGCATTACCTCCCCACCCCCTCATAGTGCCATGGGGATTCGGCAAAAACCTATTGTTACAGATCTCCAAAACGTTTTGTACCGCCCACACCGATTCACAACTTGAAAAGCTTTCAGGGGGCCATTGTTTGAATTGTGTGCGTGTGATCACGCACAGTTTCAATTAGTGAGCCCAAGAAAACTTTTATACACCTGCCCCCTCCCCCATTCTGCCCTCACTTTAATTGAAAGTTAGGGGGAGGGGAGTGAATGCACATTGCAAATAACCCGGGATTCCCGTCTGCCGCATGGGCACTAGCCAGTAGCCAACCATTCTAGGGATTTCTCTCTTCTCTTCCTGCTTGCTAGAAAAACTAATCTCGCTGGAAAATTACTCGGTGTAAATTGGAGTAGTATTAGGTCAGCAATATGCGAGTCAAGTGTCACCGGAGCAACGGAGATAGATGGAAAAAGTATGCGAACGTACAGAAACGTGGAAGCTGCTGTGAGCGATGCAGCCCAGTGGCTTCCTCCCCCTCACTTTGCTTTTAACCCTTTTCGTTTTGGATTTTTTTTTTTTTTAAGAAGGAAAACAGTTACCAACTTTTTGTTTTCTAGCTTCTCTTGCCCTTTCCACAAGCCAAAAAAAAAAAAAAATTTTTTTTTTTTATTTTGTTTTGGTTGAGGACATCGGAGAAATGCAAACTAACTGACTTTTTGTCCTATTCCATGTCAGGCGGGGCAAGCAAAGACGAAGAGTCAGAAAAGCTGCCAGAGCCGGCAGAGGAGGAGTCCCAGGTTCTGCACGGAGCTGGCCACTGTAAGTGGTTCAATGTGCGCATGGGATTTGGATTCATCTCCATGATAAACCGAGAGGGAAACCCCTTGGATATTCCAGTGGATGTATTTGTACACCAAGTAAGCCAGACTTTTTATCCCCTCTTTGCCTGGTTCCATGTGTGGGAGCTGGTCTCTGGTTATGTTAATAGACATAAAAAATGCCCTCCTAAGTATATTGAAAGATGAAAATATTCATTAAAATCGGGTGATTGTCCAGTTTTTAGGGCATGTGTACAAGTTCCTTCTAGGATATATATATATATATATATATATATATATACACACACACACACATATATATATATATATTTTTTTTTTCTAGATAAAAAGTGAAGTACTCATTGATGTAATTTAGTAAACTTTCCTTTCATTGGACAATGAAATTGCATTCTAGCATCCAGTATTATGTATTGGCTTCAGATTGCCCGTGCCCAATGAATGAATGGGAAATGCAGGAAGAAACACCCGTGGATCCATGGAAGTGTTTAAAAAACCAAACAGTTAGTTTGTAAGAAAGTATAGGAACCCTGTGTTTAGATAGCTCTCAACGACAGTACCATTTATACTGTTTTATCATCTATAGTCATTTGCCGGTTTGTGTCAAAACAATTCGTTGTATAGTAAAATGAAACAGAAAACCAATAATGAAGAGTGTGAATAAAGACATGCCAGAAAAGATTCTTGGTAACCAAAACGTTAAGAACTGTTCCTCTTAGTTCACTGGTCCGGGGATACTGTGTCTTTAAGAGAGTGAACTTAAAAAAAGAGAGAGAGAGAGAAAAAAAAAAAAAAAAAAAAAAGGTAGCTAAAGGCCATTTAAAGCCCAGTAGCTGGGGCATGGTATATTTCTATACTTGTGTTATAGTTTTTTAAAAATGCTTAAATACCAACTGTAAAGTCATTGTTTTCCATTTAAGAAACGTTTACCCAGGAAACAATAAATTCCTTTTTCTCGTAAATCCCTTTCTATTAACTAATTGCTTCAGAGTTGAGAAGAGTTTATAGTTTGCAAGTAAAGGAAATAAAAATTCTCTAGTGAGGTAGGTCATGGACAGAAAGATACTATGAGGGAAGGGGTTTATTTGCCCTACTATCTAAGTTAAAAGGAAATGATGGATCTTATATTGCATGTTCACTGGCATGCGTTCGTATCTGAAATACTGAAGTGTCTCTGCTAAAAAAGTTTGTTGCTATCTGTGCTGTTTGCTCTTGTTTATATCCCAAGGAAGATCATTTTAAATTACACCTATAGCATAGGAAACCATTCTGTTTAACTCGAGAGCTTTCTGACTTGGCTGTGTGGTTTGTATTTCCCTTTCCTGTTCACAGTGAAAGCACAGACATACTCTGTGAAATGAAGCCATCTAAATAGTAACTAGATGCCTGGACATAGCCTACTAAGTTTATGCTGCATATTCTGCTGTATTTTTTTTTTTTTTTAATTTCTTGTACTGAATAACTAAAACTGATAAATTTATTTTCTCAGGCTCGGGTTGTTCATTTGTTCTTTATGATGTCATAAATTTGTTTAATAGATGATAAATGAAAAATAGCACTTTTTTCTTTGTTTGATCACTCCTTGTTATAATTTGTTTTTATTTGGAGATATGTGTGTGTGTGTGTGTATGTACATAAATATTTTTTTTTGTTTTTTGAGACAGTGTTTCTCTGGAGCCTCTCCTGGTACTTACTCTGTAGACCAGGCTGGGTCTACATAGACCCACCTGCCTCTGCCTCCTGAGTGCTAGGATTAAAGGCGTGCGCTACTACCGTCCACCTTAAAACATATTTTAAACAGAAATAGAGCGATGTTAAAATACTAGCCATTTTATTAAGCTGTGGTGCTTAGACCTATGAAGCATCTACTTTATTCTATAGATACTGCTAGATATATGAAGTTTTCCAGCAATGTTTTTAATTCAATGTACATACGAATGTTAATCACATATCAATTAAATCCTTTAAACATTGTTTTTTACTATTTCCTTAATAGAGCTCTGTACATGTGAAAGGATATTGATTAAATGAAGGCCCTTAGCTTTTAAAATTGAGATTGACAAATAAATTATACATAATGTGAGTTGTTACATTGATGAAGGCAGAATTCCTACTGATTTTAGTCAAAGTAAAAGACAGATGGTTGTACATGGAGTACTTAGGGAGCTGTGAACATCCCTGTGTAGTCAGGTTGTGGTTCAGGACTATTAGGTAGCATTTTAAAAATGCTTTTTAATCTAGCCATTAACTTTACTATATAAAAAACTATGCCAGTTTTTTTTTTATATTAAATTTCCTCCATTATATTTTCATACTGGTTTGCTATATAGGAATATGTTTGAATCATCGTTAGAAATTTTAAATGTCCATCTAGACCAGGCTCTGTGAAATGTTATGTCGGGTTGGGTTGTCTTTTGGAGTTTATTACTTGTGTGTCTGTAGGTGATGTGTATGTGGTTGTGTGTGTTGTGGTACTTTCGTGGAGTTGGTTCTCTCCCTCCACCCTGAAGGTGTTGCCTTTTTGGCTTGAGGGTCAAGTGCTGGTCTTGTTTGTACCCCAAAGTACATAGTGTTCCGAGCACATTTTAGTGTTACGTATTGGATGAATCAAATGATATTCAAGGTCTTTAATCTTTAAAATTATGCCAAGGAAGCCAAGGAAGCCACTAATCCTTTTTCTTAGAGATATTGCCCACAAAGAACTGCACATCCTTTTTAATTTCACGGCAGTTGAGTTGTTGTAATAGGCAGTTCTTTGTAGTAAATTTTATATATAGCTCTATAGATTTGTTAGGTAATGTATTTAAATCTGTTGACATTACTGTAATGAGACTTGTAGTTCTTGTGATATCTGAACCCTGACGTTGGACTGTGCTTCCCTTGTTTGTAGATAATGTAGGCAAAAGGGGTGAGCGAGATTCACCTGTTGGAAGACAGTGGTCATTAAAATGACAATCTTCATGTGATTTCTACTGTTAACGTGTTGTAAGCAATCTTGTTTTTATGGTTAGAAAATTGACTTTAAGTATTCTGATGACTCATGTTAATAATGAATCAATGATGTTCAGTAAAACATTTTGTAAAGAATGAACAATGTATAACTTTCAACTTTGTGAATTTTGTCGCATAACACGTGTTGTAGCTTATATGTGCTAGGCAAGCATTTTGTTACTGCATTCTGTATGTCTCCACCTCATAGGAATTGCTCAGGAATCTAGTGCAAAGCATAAAGATTTGTCCCAGCCGAAGCAAGTATTCCTAGTCAAGGGTCTTACGAAGAAAATTTCATCAACTAGAATACAACTATCTTGTAAGAGCTAATATCTAATGCTGCTATCAGCTTCTTTCTATCAGTAAGTTAAAAACAATCACAGCTAAGATCAGATTGTAGGTAAAAATACGTTTTTGTTGCTTGGCCAGGGTCACAGCAGTTTTTCCTAAATACAAGGTTTTAATGAGAGTTAAGTACAATGGAAGATTTTAGAGGGATTTCATGGTAATTAAGTAATTTGATGCTGATATGTACGTTATTCTTTATATAGATTTTGATACCGACTTCCCAAGATGTATGTCACTTATGAAAACAAGATCAATTGGATATGACAGACAATTCTTAATGATCTCCTCAAAGCATATTTGCCTGGTGATGCTTTTCACATATATGTTATGTGTTAGTATATTTGGGATTCTTTTCCGTTTTGTTTTGTTTCCCTGTGTGGCTTTGGAACCTGTTCTGGAACTAACTCTTGAAGACCAGGTTGGTCTCGAATTCACAGAGCTCTACTCACCTCTGCCTCTGCTGGGATTAAAGGTGTGCGTCACCACTGCTTGGCTATGTTTGGGATACTTTGACATTGAGTATGACATAAAATTTTACTATAAACTTTTTTTTTTTTTTTAAGTCTGAAACATGGTTCAAGGGATGAACATTTTTGCTTCATATAGAGAACCTGTAAGAAGAACCTGGGTCCTGTCACCAGCGCCTACATCAGGCAATTCACAATCCAAGAGGACTGGACACCTTTGAAAAGACAAAAAAACAAACCAAAACACAACAAAAACATTTTCTGGCCTGGAGAGATGGCTCAGCAGTGAAGAGCACTGACAGCTCCAGAGGCCTTGAGGCTTTTTCTTTTATAGTCCTTATTTCTAATTTATATTTTCATCTTTGCAAATAATACAAATATTTGCATTACAATGGTTTTATATGTTTCATGTTCCTCTTATTACTTGGCTGAGTATGCTGATGCATGATGCCTGACATCCCGGTTCTAGGAGACAGGAAGCAGGAGCATGAGGAGTTTAATATTACACAGCCATGGGGAGATACAGCCCATCTAAAACAAACACTGGAGCAGAAAAACATTATAGTAATCAAGTTATTAAATACATAGAGGTGGCTAATATTTAAATACATGAAATGTGTAAGTGCTGTGCCCAAGTTAGTCAGCATTATAGTGCAGTATTGAATTGTTGGAGAGAATTCTCATATGTTCCAAGAACTTGCTGTTCTTGCAAAGGACACAGGTTCAGTTCTCAGTACCCACACGGGGTAGCTTACAACCCATTTTTAACTCTAGCTTCAGGGGATCAGACATTGTGTTCTGGCCTCTTGGCCTGTGTGTGTGTGTGTGTGTGTAAACATAAATAAATAAATGCATCCTTTTAAAAACCTCAAAGACATTTGAAAGGATGAAAGATATTTAAGCCTGACATGGTGATGCATACCTTTGATCTTGCTTTGAGCAAGAGTCTCTGACTTGGACCCCAGCCAACTCTGTATAGTGAAATCCTGTATCAAAACAAACAAACATAGTTGATATTAATAATACACGAAGGCGTTTACTTCAATGTTTTCATATTTCATGGCTTTTTACTAATATTATATTGGTAATGAATCACATTTAACTTTTGTCATATATACATTAGCATGATTTTATTTTTCACATGCTGAATATATGTGATTATTGTTTCTAAGGCTGTTTACAGCTTCTGCTGTGAAGGATCAAACCCTGGCCCATGGGCACACTAAGCAAGCTCCACCACAGAGTCGAGTCCTCAGCCCCATATACTAGTTTTAA